AATGAGGACCCGGATTGCTGTTGGGGGCGATATGCTGACTCTGTAAACCGCTTAGAGAGGGCTGAAAGCCCTATGAAGCGGTATATAAGTCTAACCGCTATTGCTATAATTTCACCCCTGATTAAATGATGATACGCAAGAGCAAAGCAAGTTGATTTCTTCACAGGACTTGAGACTGCATTAAAAAAAAACAGTTCCTTTTCAATTGTGAAAGTCAGTGGAGTTTTGAGGGCGGTTTATTCTTCCATTTGTCGTAATGTCTATCTTATATAGCTGGAGCTTTCTGGCTCCTGGACTTCATCTCTGTCAACAGGAAGGTTGGTTCAACAGCTGGTTTGTTATTTGGTACATGACATGCAAGAGGAGGCAAGGACACAGATGTTCGTTGGGTGAAGTGAAATCAAAAGTTTTTAACTTCCCTTTTGCCTGGAATGGAGACGATAGGATTTTTCATGCTATATGATCTATGGCAGGGGTCTCCAACCTTGGCAACTTTAAGACTTGTGGACTTCAACTCCCAGAATTCCTCAGCTAGCTAGCTGAGGAATTCTGGGAGTTGAAGTCCACAAGTCTTAAAATTGCCATGGTTGGAGACCTCTGATCTATGGTGGTTTGGAGAAGTAATTTGGCCCCTTGTTTTTAAGCACATTGATGTTGGTGGCTTTGAAGATGATCAAGCGTTTGTTTTTTTTCAGGTCTGGGAAGTGGAAACTGTGGTCTCTATATACTAAATGAGATTAGTTTCCTTAAAGATGTTAAATACATTTGAGTTTCCTACTCGTTGGCAATTTGATTTAAGAACATTGGATTATTCAAAACTATTTCTAATTATCACAGCAAAACTCCATCAAATACCACTTATATTGCTTGACGTAGACAATGGGTCTTTGTTAAAGCTATCCAGAAAGTTTCACAAGGATATCTGAAGTTATGCTATTATACAACAAAAACACAAGTTACTTTGCTGGAATTATAATATACTATCAACTCTTCATCTTGAGGAACAGGGAGTGTGGGACATAATGCGCATACCTGCATAGACACCCTGAGCGCATGTGAATGGTATTGGGATCATCTTCGGCTCATGTTCACTTGGAGGAGGCTCATAGCTATCATCACAGTTCTCTTCTGTGGGGACCACGTACATCTCAGAATCCGAGTGGTGATCTGGATTTTCATAATCGCTGTCCTGGAAGAAGAAGGTTGTGAATCTCTTAGGAAACTGCGAGGTGCGACTTTTAAAAAACGGTTCAGTATATGATGAGNCATTATCGCTCGCGCGGCTGCATTCTGGACCAACTGTAGTCTTCGGAAACTCTTCAAGGGCAGCCCCATGTAGAGGGCCAACCACTTTTGCAACGCTACCGAGAAAACATCTTCAATGCAATAATCAGGAGTTGACTCAACGACGCATTCTTTATTTGATTTCTCAACGGATTGTTAGGAATTTAAAACGTTTCCACATTCCATGAAAATAATTTCTGAACAAACGGAACTTCAGCCTTAAGAGATGGCCTTGAAGAAAATATTAGATATTTGTAAGTGATGCTAGATATATAATTAACATGAAATGCAAACTTTGGTTACATTGCCTTCATCTCTGTATCATTTCACTAAAGGCAGGATATCGTGCCTCAGCCTTGGGGCTTCTTTTATAATCCTGCACTCAGTAGCATCTGCAGAGTAAAGGACTCAAACCAGACAAGATGGCGGTCCCAGCAATTTAATAATTTAATTTAATTATCAAAATTTATATGCCGCCCAATCACGAAGGACTCCGGGCGGCTTACAAAAAAAGAAGAAAAAAAAAGAGAAAAAAAGAAAAAAAAACAGTTTAAAATCACAAAACCACATGCATTCACATGATCCACATGTTCAAAATCCACATGATCGAAATCCTGCCCCTTTGTACATATGTATGGTGCTGATGCGTGTTAAAAGGGGAGGAGTTTTCTAGTCTGGGGCCTTGTATACAGCAAATATCTGGAGTATTTATGAGGAAACGTTCTTAAAACTCATTTCCCTTTTGAATCCTACTTTTCTTTAAGGGCATGTAACCAATCTGGTTGCCTAGAATTAAAGCCGAACTCAATTCCCGACCCACTGATTGCCTTTTGGGAATTGCAAAGTTTATCTTTGTTGGGAAGATAAACGCAAAACTTTCCTACCTTGCGTGGAAGCTGATGGCACAGAACAGGGAGGTTTGGTTGATCTGTTCACCGCGGGTGCTAAAAATGATCGAAGGCAAAGTATTAGAGGTCTCCGAGAAAGTCAAAATCCAGAAACACAGTTGAGCCCCATGCCAATCAATTAATCAAGGTTTTATTTTTTGCTCATTCCACTGAAAATTCAGATTACTTTTTTCGAAAGGGCGAGCGGTAGGCGTATTTTTGCAAATGCAGGCTGCTTTTTCAAAAGGGCGAGTGAAATGCATGGTTTTTTTTTTTTCTAATTTCAGAGGTCGCTCGCATGGATCTCTTTCCAAATATATAAGGGCACAGTTGGAAAAATTCGTATTTCCCAAAAAGCGAAGGCTCGTGCAATATCCTGGATGTAAAGGGGAAGGAACTTTCAGGAGAGTGCAGAAATAGAAATGTGAGACTTTTGTCCACAGCTCCTGAAAGCAGCTGCATCGGTATGATCCCGAGTAGGGATGCATTTATTTTTTGAATTTATTTCTATTTTTTAATTTTTATTACATAGACCACACATACACACAATAATAAAATAAAAAAAAACCACANTACCTATGAACAGGATTTTAGTCAACTAACAGTAAGAAACCTTCTGGTGCTATGTAAAGGTTAATGGAATTCAAGAGATGTTGTACTTGGTGCATTTGTGCCCACGTAGGGATTCCAAGCTGATTCCTTTCTTGACTCCACCCCCTAATCTCTGCCACTGTTTCTCCTACATTCTGCCTCCACCTCATACAGTTCTCCAAATATCAGTTGCTGGGGGTGGATTATGTAGAATTAAAGTACCTAATTTCAGTGTGAAGATTTTGAATCAGGTGTTCAATATGATATGCACAATGTGCAGTCTGAGACACAGAAGCAGCACATGGAGAAAGCTGGGCTTATCAAAGAAGGTTGTAGCCATATTCGAATTCTAGCATAATTATCTCTTGCTTGACCTCACATCAGCTATTTTGCAATACATCATTGTACTAAAATCCCGCTGTGTCGTAAAATTACAATTATCTACCTTAGATTAAGACTTTTTTAAAGGAGAAACTAAATTGGGGAAATAACCTCAACGTTTACCTGTAATTTCAGAGCGAACAGCAAGTTACCTGGGTAATGGAGGTGATGGCTCCTGCTGGAAAAAAAATGAATTAGATTAGTATTCACAAATTGCATTAGGCTTTTAATTTTCTTAAGGAACATTTCCCCTAAAATGCCAGTTCTTGTCATCAATTTGTAGGAGATGCTGCGACAACTACTCCATATAACTGAAATATAATGTTCTCTTCTGTAGTGGATTTCAAAAGCAGATCAAATAAACATGTCAAATTTGTTGATCCAAGCTTTTGCTACTAGTATTTTACCCTAGAAAACTAATAAATGTTCTTCCACATATTTTTCTTTAAGTTATTATTGCAAAACAGGTAAGATTTAAATGTGGTTGGTATTCTCATCTTTCCCCTAGAAATGGATCTCATTGGCGCCAATTTGGGAAAGGAGATGAAAGTTGTGTTTGGCATCCTTAAGCGCTATATACAAAATGCAATTTTGAACATATCCATTATATTCCTCTTTCCTTTGTACACTCATGCACCACAAAGAGTTATTTCCCTCTTTCTGCTCTGAATAATTGTTCACTTCCTTCACAGGTGAGTCTTTTAAAACACCCACACACACCCACACCCACAACCATCTCACCTCTTCCTCAGGAATTTCATATACGTCTGCAAACAAGAGGATAGAAACAGAATTAAACCATTTCTGTGCAAAACTAGGCACACGAATGACGCAAAGATTTCATTTTTAGATTAACAGTGCAATCCTTTATATAAAGTCTGCAAGTTTTTCTAGCGATTTTGTAGATGTGAATATAGATATACCTTTGCCTATACCTTTTTCCAGTTATTTTTTTTTTTAATTCCCTAGTCTAATCTTGAGATTTCCTAGTGATTCCCAAAGACCTGCTTAGCTTTCTGAATCGGTTCAAATTCTGAATCGGCAACAAAAGAATACCCCGGAAGAAGAACTTTTTAAACTTTAATAAAATTTGTATGCCGCCCACTCCCTAGGGACTCTGGGCGGCTCACATCAAGTAAAAGCATTTAAAACATTTAAAATTACAGAATTAAAATCAACACAACATCCATTCCATCAATGGGGCTGGAATAATCAACAGCCCCAGGCCTGCTGGAACAGCCAGGTCTTGGTCGCTTTATGGAAGGCCAGGAGAGTGGTGAGGGTCCGAATCTCTGCAGGGAGCTCGTTC